CGACCTTGACGGTTGTCACCGGAGCAGCTGTGGTTGTCGACATTTCATTGATCTTTTTCATATTCTCTTGGAAGATCGCATCATGATCGTAGTTTCCGGGGCTCTCGGGTGTAGGCGTGATGGCGGTCCCTAGAATTGTGGGGAGCGATTTTCCAAGCATCATGGATTTTACGTAGATTCCATGGTCAAGAAAACTTACAGATGGGTTTGGAGGGGCCGTTGAATTCCATGAACTGCGATTTCTTCTGGAATTACAAGGCATTTAGTGAGATTTTTTACGCTTCATTTTTTTTCTTCAAAGTTCAAACTCTCTACTGGGGTCAGAGTACTCCCTCAAAGTTTGAAAACCCTGACTTAGGCAGGGCCGGTGTTCCTCCCAGACTGCTGCTTCTCAGACTGGAGATCACCTCGCTTGAGTCAGAGCCGTCATGGTGACGTCTTCAAGGTCAAGGCTAACTTCGAACTTTCTTCAGCTTCTTCACCTTCAAATGGGGATGGAAAATTCCACAATCTTTTCACCTTGAGGCAGACCCCACTCTACCACCTGAACCAAATACGGCCCCACTCCTCCTTCGTTGATAATTTCAAGAGGTATGTAATGAGCCCACGCTTTCACCATTGGTGTTTTCTTACTGAAGTGGTCTCTAACCGATCATCATCGGTAGAGAGAAGCAGTGGGAGGCGGGTTAATTGTGGCACCGCCCCGGCGATATCGACTGCATATTTATCAGCACTCGTCTGAAGGATGCAGCTGGTGATAGTATTTCCAGCTAAGATTTTCCAACGCCTCACCTGCATCTCCTGGTAGATCTTGTCGTGCATGCCCATTTCTGGTGCAGGTGGTACAGTCGGTTGTTGCATGGAGAGAATCTGAGCCGGTGATGCGTCATGTGGTCGGGTTAGAACCTGGAAGCCAACTTTTCCTGAGCGAGCGAGGAAACACAGATAGTACGCTTCTTTCTTCGCGGGAGAATCGTTTTGCTGCGGAAACATCACATCGGTAATCCCTTCAGTGCCACCTCCACCCCAAATTCAGAATCTCGTGAACCCAGCAGCCCGCTGAAGGGAGAACGGAATCTTCCATCCCACCATTGTATTTAGAGAATGAACCAAAAAAGTGCGTGCTGAGTATCCTTATATAACTCCTCAGTGCTCTACGCCCAAAGAGATGCGAGACTCTTCTTTAAGATGTCGAAGAGCACACCCTCCTTCCTCCCGCCCGATAACGTTTCCCTGTTTCACAATGTTACCGTCACTCGAACGGATTACTGTAACAAATTTTCATGGTCGTTTCCTTTCAATTTAATGCACGCTGCGGTTCCGCTGCTTTTAGGTTTTTGCAGCGAAGAATTGATTTGCTTCAATGCCACTGATACATCTGCACTACACATCTGTGGGCAAAAAGGCGAGCGCGGCAACGACTGCCATGGTCCTGATGGAAAAGAGGCAGCGAAATGTGTATGAGAAAGGAGTTAGCAGACGCAGCGGTCGCCAAGATCCCCTTTTGCCCTCCCAGGAAGACTATATTCCAAGGCAATACCCAACAGAACTCACTTGTGGTTGTTGCTGTGGCTGAGGAACCGGCCATTGTTGCTGCTGAAAATGCAGAAAATTCGTATAAGACTTATCGATTTATCAATGTTATGGGCTTTTTTCTACCATTCTGTGGTGGTCAGCTACTGGTCGTTTTCTCAGTTGCGTAGGATTGATAAAATTTAGCCAGATGCTGAAGCAGCATGCCACTGCAGCGTGCGGTCGCGAAGCGTACGCACGATAAAGAAGTGAATCAGTACTGAACGCTCAGAGAATTCAGTGGACTTCCAGAGGTAGTTTACGGTCGTTCGTTCCGCAACCGCACGCCACGGAGGCCATTAAGCCCCACCACCACGACGGTACAAAGACTGGATATGTTGGAGGTTGTGTTTACCGTACCTGATTCTGGAACGGTTGCTGCTGTGGGAAGAAGAATTGTTGTTGCTGTTGTTGCTGAGGTGGCACTTGTTGTGGGTAGAAATAGAACTGCTGGGGATAGCGAGGGTTCACGAAGTTCTGCTGAAATCAACAGCTTCACCATAGAAACTCTTATTCCTATCTGTTCTCTTTTTACCTAGTTTCACTTTTTCAAAGAGCGGCGCAGTTTGGCTTGGAGGGGTGATTTTCTCGTTGTTCACGTTAACTAACAGATTTTTGGTCACACCTGTAAACTCCTGTGGAACTACGAATTTGTTTGAGTGGGTCACTTTGGTCACAGGAATTTACAGATCTTCGCGAGGTGGCCTGTTAAAGCTTGGCATTGGGCTCGTTGAAAACCATTCGGTGCCTCCACCAAGCCCAACTGCGCCCAACAGATCCTCCTTGATTGGTCTCAGAGCAGCTAAAATGGCGGTGGACACGAGATTTGATCGCAGTTAGGGTTAGGATTCTATAGCGCTTCTAACTAGTCGCGCTGTTGCCCAGCAAAGACGAAGTACGACCTCAGGTGGTCACCTGTTGTCTGGTCTGGGGAGACGGTTCCGATCTCGATCTCCACGGTTGTTGTGGCATGAGGAATTGTTGTTGTAGCTGCTGTTGTTGGAGCATCTGAAGACGTTCCCAGTTGGCTCGTTGAGCCTGTTCCCATTGGGCTCGTTGCACTTCGGCCTGGTACTCCTCCATTGCACGGGCTCGTTGCATCTGCTCCCAGCGAGCTTGAGCAATTGCACGGGCCAGCTGTTCTTCCTGGATTGCTCGTTGCTGTTGTTCTGCCTGGAATTACAGACTGTCAATTGTTTGCTCCCAAACTTGTTTGCTGTTCGTTTTTGGTAGGGGCATTTTGCACTCGCTAATTGCTTTAAATTGCACGTTACACCTTGGCGAGACCTGTGAACTGTTGCCAAGTGTAAACAAAGCTCCTGCTATTGCATAGCTTTACAGGTCTTCAAAGGAGGCATCGGCAGTGGCAGATCGAAGCGAGCCAGCGAGGTGCCCCCACTGAGCCAAACTGCACCCATTATCAAATTACTTAGAATGTCAATCAATAATTATCGATCAGTGGCAACTACGGTACTGCACAAGCTACCGTACCTGTGCCCACTCGGCTCTTGCCATTGCCTCTCTCATCATTTGCTGTTCAAAGATAGCCTGTTGCAGACGACGCCATCTCCACTGACGCATAGCCTGCAAGGCGATTTATTGATGACAACCCGATTACGTGTGCAAAAACTCCAGCAGACAAATTTGCCCTAACCTGAGCCTGTTCCATTTGTCTGGCTTGTAGAACCCACATTGGTGGAGGCATCATGGGTCGGTTGTTATATGCTTCTAATGGAGCCTAAAACGTATTTTCATACTGATAGGCTAATACTTTTATTTACATATCAGAAAAATAACATTTCTGTATCAATTTACTTACTCTCTACTGTACCTACAGTCAATCTCACCCTAGCGCCCAAGTATTTTTATTCCATTCCAACCACATGGAGATTTACCGCTCACAAGGGCGTGGACGCCTTTTCAAGGCATCATAAATGAAATCCAATAGTCTGTCGGTCGTGACCCTCTTCGCGTTATACTAAACCTCCACCAAGTGACCGCGCCCAGATTCATTTAGTCTAGCACTGAAGTTGGTCGTGTTCCCCACTTTAAGATGGGAATATATTTTTGGGGTGGGCAAGAAGGTATTTTTTTTGAGTTCTTCTTATCGACGATATATTTGCATACATTCCTAGTCGCTATTCTCAAAATTTCTTTAAGGATCTGTCTCGCGCTAGTCATTTTCCACAAACGGATTACTTCCTTGGTAGCGCTGACACTTACAGTCAATTATTCCTGGCAAAGAGGGCGCGGAGGGCGCGTCAAGGGGCGTGGGATTAGAACGCAGCCCGGGCTTTTCCACCTATTATTGCGGGCTCAGGAATGCATCATTGGTGGAAAAGGCAACCCTGGCTGTGTTCCATCCCACGACTGTACATTCAATTGATTTCCTTGGATTACCGTACCTCTTGCTGTTCATACGGGTGCAGGGGTCGCTCGTTCATTGCTTTTTGTTGGATGTTCGCATCGGGGGTGTTTCCACCTTCGATCACCATTACTTTAGCGACTGGGATGGCGTTGACGAAGACTTTCATCTAAAATGCGGCAATTGGAGTGTTAACCTTCTTGTAGGGTTTATGCCAGCCAGTCTAGTCAAGTGTAGCAACTAAGGGATGAATTGGCATTTGAAGAAATACTCCCACAACCTCCCAGGTATCGCAGATAAAATTGTCATATATTTTGTGGCGAAGAGCAAATTAGTTTTTACTCATTCTCATTTCTTGAGTGTTTCCACCGAAGGAATGATTCAGCATATCTCTTTAATGAACTTGGAATCTCAATCTCAACCTAGAGCTTGGGCCGCGTTCATACCTTTAATTAATACCTACAATCGAGAATATATGAAAATTATTAAATACGCATTAACTAACTAGTGACTCTTCAATTCTCCGACTTTTCGTGGGCAAGGTGGCTCCACAAAAAACTCACTAGCAGCGCGGACGCGGCGCGTATTGGCCATCGTCACAGTGACCCTCTGGCAATTCGGCGCAATGGCCAGCTCCGCGCCGAGGCTTTTCGAGAACACAAACTAGTGAGCTCCTGTGTCGAGGAGTGGTAGGCAGTATCAGAATCATGAATGGCGAGAGAAGAGGCTTGGTTTGCTGAGAATAAGGACTGATGGGATCATTGCACGCTTCTGCGCTATTTTTGAGAAAAAACACACAATGCTTATCGGAACGTCACGTGGAGGTGTCCCTGTGCATGTGGTGGTGCCATATGCACCTAGGGACATCTAAATATGACGCTCCGATAGATCTATTTCCTTCAATGGCTGTCTGTCCAAAGAGGCAACGACTGCTGGAAAGGGGTTAGCGCCGCGCCAAAGCGTACTTTTGCTAAGATGTCTCTACCCAGCGCTCTGTTGAGCACCACAACTAGGCGACGTATCATCTTGTTCATTGCCCAGCCAGTGGTAGAGCGGCATCGCTGCGACATAGCTTTGGGACGCGCCGCGTACGCGTGCCAGGTGAGTTTTTCCTTCCTTTTCCCCTCTCCTAGGCCAGGCCTTTCAAAAGTAACGAATCTTTTTCGCAGATTCTCCTAAGCTCCTCAGCTTCAAATCTCCTGTTTCCTAGTGGAGCCAGGTATGAACGCGGTCTTACCCCATTTTTACTTCAT